TAGTTTCTTTTTTTTTTTTTTTTGGGTGTAAAAGACCGCATCATTAAGTAAAGTTATTGATATATGTTTGTTTAAAGTCAATCCATTTTTCAATAAATAATATTTGGAAGGCTTTGTTTTTTTTTTTAAATTTGTTATGGTTAAGTTTACTTCTTTTGAAGAAAGTTTTTATATTTTTAAGAAAATAATCAACAAAAAAAAAACAACTATTTTGCTTTAAATACATAAAATTAGAAAAGATTTACTTAACATTTGTCACACATAACTCGGTGTCGATCGTAAATCGTCGCGTGAATGAAATAAAAATTGTAAATAAATTCAAAACGATATTGAGACTTGACTTGAGAAACCTTTTTTTTTTTTTTTTGAGCAAAAGAAAAACCTCATCACGGGTAATAAGTATGTTTTCACGTTAAACAATTTCTTTGCATAAGTGTCAATATATAATGTCGACATTTTTAAAACTAACAATCAATTATCATCGTAATGATAAATCTTAATGACATGGTTGTCTACATATATATATAACTATCACAGTTACTAAATAGCAAATAGGAAAAGTTTTCCATTTCAACACTCCTATCCAATATATCTCTTAAAGATAATGTAAAGACTTTCACTTTAGAAAATTAAGGAAAATTCTTTTTATAATATACGATATTTATTTTATATATATATATATATATATATTAAAGATATGCATGTATGTATTGTATTCACCATGCTCGCGAAAACTCTGCATTGATGTAATACACGTTAAGTAGACATTGTTTTCTTTGATCAGGCAAGTCATTCACTCCGAAAACTCAATTTCTTTCAAAGACATTTTGTTTACAATTCTCAGCGAATTTCTTTGAAAAGTTTTCATCAGCGTGGGTTAAAAAGGCAAACACACAAACATAGCTGACATTGCATGTTGAAAAAAAGGAGAATAAACAAAACAAAAAACAAAAAAAAACAACTTGAATTTAACAAACAAACATAAAGTTCATTTTCTTCTTGTGATTCGGTTTTTAAGTTCGAAAAAGGCCATGACTACCGTTTTTTTTTGTTTTTATTTTAAATTCATTTTAATTTTTTATATTTTTTTACACACAAACAGTTAAGCTTGCGTTTAATTGAGTAAAGTTGTGTTTTAGGTGGCAATTTTTGTTAAGTGAATTAACGGTAAATAGAAACCGGTTGAAATTATTTTAATATCAACGATTCTCATAGTTTACACTGCATGCATCCACTGTTCCACTCGTAATCGTGCTTAAGTACTTATGTATGTATGTACTTATCCTTTCAGCAACTTGTCTGTTAACCTTGAAATGCTACTACGTAAAGTGTTACTTTCTCCGTCACTCGTTCTTTCCGTTTTATTTATTTATTTATTTTTTTTTTTCTATATTTTTTTTAGGATTTTGCCAATTGTTCATCATGTTATTACTAATGATTATACAAATTTGTTTTTTTTTTTTTTTTCTTTTTTTTTTTTTACCTTTCTTTAAATTGTCATCTCTAATTGCAGGTTATAGGCAAATATTTTTCCTAATAATTTTATAGTGGTCGTAACAATCGTCGTAACTTTTTAAGATATACGTACCTAAGATATGTATTTTCCAATTTAAGAAGTGAAAGCAATCAAGTTGATAGAAAGGTTAAAAGCTTAAAATTATCACATTTTGGGTCAGCGAGTCGAAGAGTCGAAAAACTGAGAGAGCTATTGTGAATAATATTTTATAGAGTTTAAGTTGTGTGCTAAAGATGAGAATTTTCGGAGCATAATCTAAGCAAAATGATGTGTAATTTTGGGTATAATTGCAAAGCGAAAATTCTCATTCATTTTTGAAAGACAATCTTTTTTTTTTTTTTTTTTCAAAGAATTTTCACTTATTTACCGAATCTTTCTATTAACTGAATTTGTAATAAGAATTCAAGCCTTTCTAATTTAATTTACGCCTAGTGATGACTGCCAAGGCAGATCGCTTTACTTGAATTTATTAAGCCGGCACTGACTATGCGTATCAAACGAACATGTTTCTCTGTGAAGGCGATAGAGCGAGCAAGAGGAGTTCGCTGGCTTAGAATTTTAGTAATATATTCCTTAATTATGTCTGTTACGACCGGAATAGATGACTTAACTACATATAGCCCTGAGTACCTGTTCCCATGCGCAAGATCTTTAACTGTCCTCTTTGCATCTGGACTACGTTGTATTCCGCAGAACCATATCGGTTTAATAATAGCTTTATGTAGTTCCATTTTACTAAACAAATCCATCCTTCAATTTAAGTTTAATCATTTTATTTGGTTTAATTTCGCACTTATATGGTGAGTCCATGTGAGGCAGAGATGTGAATGGATTCTCAAGTATTTGACATGAGTTTTCCGGCTTATTGCAACATTATGCGTAGCTAGTGGAGTGAACGTTCCCTTTGTAGGAGTACAAGTAACGCACTCGGATGGTAACCTGCTCTCGGATGGTAATATGGTCTTGAACTTGCCTTGATGCCGCAATATATTTTTGCATATGTGCTTATAGTTATTGTATCATCTGCGAACGTGATCGTGTACGTAAGGCAGTAGGTTGATAGGTTGGTTCACCATATGCAATAGACAGACAGTTAGTCGCGAAATACCGCCTTGGGGGGGCGCTTGCTAAAGTCTTTCTAATGCACACCCATTAATTTGTGCAGCAAAGGAGCGAACAGTTGAGTAATTTCTTATAAAATTCTGTGTATTAGATAGTAATTTATGGTTAATTTTATATGAAATTTCTTCGTGCCATTCTTGGTCGACTACTTGAGATATACCAATAAAAATGGCTTAACCGTATTGCTTTCATTCAAATGATTTCCCCGATGACGACTACCATGCGATGCGGTTGTTCAATGGTCTCATTAATTTGCCCGAATCCAAATTGATTTTGGCGGAATTATATCACGCGTATTAATATAGTGGGTAACGTTAGTCATTAATGGTTTCTCAACTAGCTTGGAGATGAACGACAATATGCTTACGGTTCCGTTTTATTATCTTATCCACCATCGTAATAATGACGGATTTTCTCCGACTGATGGAAATTGTCCAGTAGGAAGGATGACTTTAACGATGCGTAATAAGATCTTTAATAAGATCATTTTCGCCGTGATGTTGTATATATATTGATTGATATGTATATATATATATATACATATAAGGATTCTAATAAAAAATTAGGCTTTATATGCCGAAAATGTATAATTTCTAATAGTTTATGTCCTTAGTAAAAATTTGCCTATGGGTTTATTTTTGAGACCATACCATAATACATATTCGCGTCTTCATGGTGGCAAAGCCTAATTTGTGATTTGCAGTAATTAAAAAAATATTGAATTATCTGACAAATAAATTTGGTTTGTCAAATTTAGGTCACGTTGACCTTTGAGTATCGTGCAATATGAGAGCTTTCACGGACATTAAAATAATATATAATTTTTGATCTATGATTAACTCAGGCAAATGTAGTGTAGAGTATCTAAATGTCGATTTTGCCTGACTAAAGCATTCTTCTTTTCTTCTTTTTTGGATTAAAAATTTGTGACACTTTTCAATAGCGTCTTCTAGAACCCTCTAGACTTTGCATTCAATAGTATTTCCTTAAATCCATTCTTATGTTTAATTAATTAATTAATTACATTGGAGACGAAGTAGTAACAACTTTAAAAAAGAGACGGCGATATGATAAAATGAAAGCGTGTGCATTTTTCCTCCTTTTTTTTTCTTTTTTTGTCTTTCTTATATGCGTGGACAAGGTGGGTGATCAGGAAGGCTATATATATATATATATATACAGCGAAGGAGGGAAGTTAGTAATTGTTAATAGAAATATTTGGTTTCAATTTTAACAACGATACTAAACTGGATGAAAGGATGGAAAAGAAAATAGATTCAATTTTTCATAGCCGTGCAAAAAAAGACTTTTCGGATTAAAAAAAATCTCGAATAGTTTCTATTCTAAGCGAGTGCGTCAAGGTCACACTTCGAAACATGATATTTTTAGGATTCGATGTTACTTGGGGCTTGTTGCTTTGTGGCCACCTTGAGCATATATGCAATTAAGCTTAGTCTGCAAAATAAACCTAAAATAAATCCGACTGGATATGCCCAATTTTATTGAGGATCGGAATTGCAAAAAAAGAAAACTGTAAGCAAACTTTTTTTAGTCGATCGTTACTTTGAAGAATACTCGTTGGATTCAGATGGATAGACAAACCTATTTCGTATATCATTTATAGAAAATGTATTAATTAAAGGGAAATTTTTTCTAAGAAATTTGATGACAAATAATATTTAAAAAACATTTAACGCTAGGTGACGTTTTAAGTAAGTTAAGAAAATCTATATGAAAAATATTTAGAGGAAAAATTCCGCTTTCTTTCCACGAAAACACATAAAAGTTTTGCCGCTTTTTCTGCATTGGCAAAATGTTATTTATTAAATTAATTCACATAACTATGACAAATGCCTGTGCTCTGTCTGAATGTGACTGAATCATTTAGAAGCGAATTATCTTATGCTTGGGTGTTTGTTGTGTGCAATAGCAACCGCCCATATGATATAATAACTTAAATAACTAACATTGTATGTATGAATCGTTTGCTTCTGTTTTTTGCGTCTGATCTGATAAATGAACCGGTATGGAAAAACAAAAAACGGCCGACAACTTTCTCTAAGCGATTTTTTTTTTTTTTTTTTTTTTATAATTTCTTCCCCGCATCTCTTGGCGGCAGCACGTTTTAGATAAATTAATGCATCACGATTGAAGCAGTTAAACTGTATACATCTTTATTTTGGATTTGGTTAACTAAGCGCAACGTTCGATTTTTCCTCATCAAAATGATGCACTTACTTAATCATATATATATATATATATATATATATATGCATATAGATATATATAGATTAATGTGTGTATGTATGTAAGAGAGAACTATAATTTGGGGTTTTTTTTTTTTTTTGTTCTTTACTTCCAGAAATCTCGCCATATTTAGATTTAGCTTTATGTCCGCTACGTAATGAACCGTGGAATTGCGCGCGACAACGAATGGCGCGGATCTTAGACGCCTGGGACAATGAATTGAAATTGCAATGGCAAAAATTAAAAGGTTCAAAGTGAAAGAAGGGAACTTTTGTCTATTATTTTTATATTCATATTTATATCGTTGTTTTAATTACACAGTGGAAGCTGATCATCAATTGAATGTGACAATTGGCAAGCGTGGTTACAGCGCTTCGGAAATGTTAGTCAAAGAGAAGCCGTCAACAATTTTAAAAAAAATTGAAATTGGCAGCAATTATATGAAACAATTCCTCGCTGAAACTATGGATGGGTAAGTTGTTTTTGTAATAATAATAATAATAATAATAATACTAGTTAGTTACAATTATATATATCTATACATATATATATATATTTATTTATTTATTTATTTATTTATAACAATTTTAAAGATTTTTGGGTCGTGAATATGAATATATACAAAGCGATTTGGATCAATCTGCCGAAGAGAGTGCTAATGAGTATATAGACGGAGAAACGACAGTTGATGTTAATGCTAATGATGAGGATGGCGATGATGATGGTAACGATTATCAGTTAACTACTGATGATCAAAATAAAGGTACAGATACAGACAGCGATACAAGTGATGATGTAGAATTTATTGAAATACCACAAGAAGTTAATAATGCAAACAATGAAAATAATAATGAAAATAATAATGAAAATAATAATGAAAATATTAATATTATAAATATTGAAAATATTGAGAATAATGAAAGTGAAGAGAAAAATCCTATAAATACAGATCAAAATATTAAAAACACCAATCAACCAATAAATGATATAAATGCACAATATGCTCCATTAACGGTGGCACAAACTTTGTTACCTCAAGAACAACAACAACAAGAACAGCAACAACAACAACAACAACCGCAACAAGAACAACCCCTTACACAAACCTCCCAAATTGGAAAATCCCCCTTAAATAATGGCAGTGGATTGATTGGTCGTGGTGGTAAATTGAAGCACAAAAAAAAGAATCGAAAAAAGAAGGGACAACACGAAGAAGAGAGTTCCGAGGAGACAGATATATGGGATGATTGGCTTAGTATAGATGATGCCCTCTCGTCTAGCGTCAAACATAAAAAACATATATTTCATTATGGTAGAAGTAATGGAGGTGTGTGTTTGATCAACACTCGTGTGCACCCATTTCCAAACACGTACATTGATCTATTTAGTCAATTCTTTTATATGTTTCAACATAATGAAAGAGATAGATTTATGTGCGTAAATTTATCTCTTTCATTATAAATTATTGAACTTTGCTCGACAAATTGTTATTGTAATTTACGGTATCAAAATTCATTCATACATATATTCAACATTCGCATTACTAATTCGTAGTGATGCTTACAAGAATGCCGTTATAAAATGAAAAAAATTAAAAAAATAATTTTATATTTCTTATCTGATATAATTTAGTTAGAAAACGCTTACCCAGAACAATGCAATTCAGGCAAGTCGTTCAAGTCGAGTTCGTTAGCATACGTTTGCAAAACGTTTGGACAATGCCTTCGTTGATTCATTCGTTACAATATGAAAGTTACTGACTAATTGGGGATTGTGAGTTTCATATTTCACTTGTGTTCTTAAACGGAACATAATGGGCGTGAAATCTTCACGATTTCTTTTATTCTCTCTTACGATAGTTTATGTAACCAATATATTATTATTATTATTATTATTATTATAAACTTAGCCAGAGAATAAATTCTATGACTAAAGTCTTAAAGCACTAGCATCTAAGGCTTTCGGCTTTATTAAAAACTCTACCGCACTTGAGATTTGAACCCACGACCATTGAGTTGCTAGTCGAGACTCTTGCCTACTCGGCCACTCAGGCGGCTGTAACCAATATAAAAGCATATGCAAGCAACAAAACTATTGGATTAAACGGATTTAAGTCGCATTTCTAAAATTCCATGGCTTTGGCCTTTGATTTTTAAGAATACATGCAAAGCATTTCGTATAAAATACAATAACAATTTGTAATTATTATTAAAGCTTGGTAACTCTATTGCATAGTCATTTTATTGGTGCTGGCAATGGCTATCTAACTTAAATGAAATCATTAGTTAAGACATAAACCAATGGTCTGTGCTAACACTATTAACCAATAAATCGTAGATAGAAGAGAAGAGTAATTCATTTGAACTTAACTAAAAAATTCATTTACTAAAATTATATTATTCTCGTTAAATAATTTTATTTATTTATATTTATTATAATTAGATACTTTCAAGTACTTTTTTGTCAATCGAAAGATCAGATAGTTAAGATCATATATACAGTTAGCAATATTTTTTTGAGACTCCCGTTGTTGATTTCGATACTTGGCTGCGTCTTAACATAGAACAAATGCGGTATCATTTCAAAGGACTTGATCCCCACATCGTAATACTAATTGAAGTGTATTTTTTTTCTTTTTTTTTTTTTTTCAAGTCATTTGCCGTATACCTGAGTGAATAGTTGGGTATGCTTTTGTCTTTGGTGGTAGATTGCATTCTGCCAGCATTTTCATAATGTTTTGTTTCATTTTTAATCGTCTATTGCTCTTGTACGGTTGTTACGTAAAGAATGCTCATTACTTTTTATTTTTATTTGTATATTAAGCAGTGGCAAGCTAGTTACCCGTTTCGATACCTTTGTTCGCCAAAACTTAACCTCATAATTAACTAAACATTTTCTAATCCGAATTATTCGAATTATTATTTCAATAAACATTTTCGATTTCATTTTTCAATTGGTTCGGTGGTATCACTTATACGGATCGTTTAAGTAAAAAATCGATTAAATGCATTATCTGTATAACAAAAAAAAGTAAAAAGGATTTGCATCGATATAGATTTAATTTATATTAATGAAATGAATCTCGGGGATCTTATAAGCACTAATTCTCCTTGATGAGTTTGTATGAGTGTGATCGTTTCGATCTTATTGTCAATCCATTTAAAAGTTTGCTCAGAAAACTTGAGCTACTGTAAAACTTTTTTCCTTAGGTTAAGTTAGAAAATTAACTATGTCGGGCACAAGGTCAAAGGCCCACGTAGTCAATCTTATTAGTTTTTCAGGTATATGTTGTAGACATGCAAGTCCCTTAAATGACTATATTGCGCTTGTATACGGAATGAGCAGTGGTATCGACGGCCATACAAGCATACAATGAAATTTGCATAATAGTTTTGATCAAAGTACGAAATATAAGGATTTTCAGCATGAAATTATTTTCAACGATTCTGTCCGGATTTCATATAAATAAAGCTAATTCTCTCTTATGCGCGCTGTTCACTTATGGCATCATACTTGCATTGCATCTACTTTCCATCTGCTTAACGTATCATAACTCCTCGTTCCTCATTCTGGTTCATTATTTTTTAATACGATTTAGCAGAATTTAGTTCCTGTTATAAATTCAACATGACCCAAGACTATTTAAGATATGACTAGAAAAAGAATGGACGATTGAGGTGAGGGGAATTCTTAATGAGAAAATCAATATTTGTTGGCTTTCTTTTCTTTTTACAAAGATAACTTGTGTTACGTTTTTGGCCGCTCCAACGGTATTATGCCATTTAGTTGCTAAAGATAAAATCAATAGTTGCAATAATGGGAGGAAATTATGTATATATTGTGATAAAATAGAACGAGACGAACTTCAACTTAATACAACGACTATCGAAATAATGCCTATAAGGCATCACATCACATAAATTCGTTATCCAATGTTTTAATACATTCTTTGTGATATTATCGCAGCTGACTAATGAATGACTAAGCATAAGCAAGAAAGCTATGTCCGACACTTTTCGCATGAGGAAACCTCAAAAGTTTTGTTCATCATCATGCATCAAAGGCCGGTTATTAGTTAGTTACTCAATACAAAATTGAATTTGGTCCATTGTATAGCAACATATCAGTGATGAATTAATTACATAATGACGCGCATTGAAATCACAAATTATTATATGTTCAATAACTAAGGTTTACTTTCATGCGGATTTGAGAGAAAACAAAAAAAATAAACAAAAAAAAAATATGAGTTTTTTCAAGCCCTCCCTCCAACTTTGGTTGTCGGAAAGCCGATTGAATACGAAAGCCGTAGAAATCGTGATCAGGATTTTTCTCGTTAATTCTCCCTTTAGGCCCATAGTTTCCTAGATCCTAGACCTTAAGTAAATTTTGTCTCGTTTTATATAAATTTTTTGGTTTGTTTTTTTGTACATTTTTTTTTTTATATTATTAAATATTTAAGATTTAAAATTATTGCTTAAAACTTTACGCGCTCACACAAACGCACATTTGCACTTATACTAACAAACACCATCCTCCCATATTTTTTCATTAAACATTTTTAATTGTTGGTTGCTTTTTTTCCAATATTTAGCAAACGATTGTATGAGTAATAAGATTGGTTTACCTTTTTGTTGTTGCTTTTCAAATAATTTAGTTACCCGCGGCAAGAAGAAGAAAAAGAAGAAGGCTCTCATCAAGCTAATGCTATTGGGTACATTTCTTAAAGCTAAAATTGAGCTGCTCCTGAAAATACTTAGCGCGCATTTGCAAATAAAATTCTTTGGTATTGCGCTGATCGGTCTTCTCATAAATGTCGCACGTTTCTGGATTGATGTGAAACGCGGCGGTGGTCCACAAAAGGTATAAATATTTTAATTGAACTTTTAATTGCGTTGTTTTTTTTTTTTTTTTGTTTTTTTCTTGTTTTTAAATCCTTAACAGTCAACACTATTACACAACAGTGTTCTTGCTAGTATTGTTGGCAGTTTGATTATAAAAACGAAAAGAGGAGAAGAGAAAAATGAAAAAACATGAAAAAAAAAAGAAAGAAAGAAGAAGCAATAAAAGGAAAGAGACTAGACTATTATCATTGAATTGATACATATATATATATATATATATATATATATATATATCCGTCTTTGTTCTCTGGCATGTGTCTTCTGCTAGAATGCTTGCTTAGACGAGAGAATTGAAAGAGAAAGCTCAAATGAATTACATATATATAAAATATGTATATTCTGCATATCTGCGCGTATGATTTAGAAAAGAGAAATATGATCCATCCATTGAAAATAATGAAAATGCATAGAGATATTTGAATTAAGAGTTTACGATTTGTATGTGGTCGAAGAAGTTAATTTGAATTTCGACATTCCTTATATGCAAAATGTAAAAATGATTTTAATCGTATCGTTCACTATTATTATAAAAGTCAGCTGGTAATTTATTTATTAATTTACCCTAAGAATTGATTAAAGAATTTGTTGCAACTTGTTGTTGCCTTAAGTAGTTAATATAGATTTTTTTCTTTGCAAACACTTTTTTTTTTTTTTTATCCCAACACACGACATTATTCCATCTCTGTTCTTTACATGCACAATCTGTCTCTTCTTGTTATAAATCTTTAAACTGTTCAACATTTATTGCACCATCTCCCACTTGGCAATTAATTATTGCATTATGTACATTAAACACTTGAGCACTTTGGTATCTTTGGTACTTCTTTGGGTTTATGTAATTATTTCAAAGAATAAATCTTTGTAACGACAGGTTGTCTATGTTGAACATGCCCACCATCAGCACCATTACGATGATCATGGCGGCGAGGATTGGGGCGAAGGTGGCGGCGGCGGTAGTTATTGGAAGCGATCATTGCAAACGGATGCAACCATTGATAATATGGATACTTCAACGGATAGTTATCAACCGCAGCCATACGATTCCCATTATATGGCTTACAGAAATCAGTAGCAGTAAATAAATAATAATAAAAATGAATATAAGTAAAACAAAACTTTTCTAATTTCTTTTGTTTAAAACAAAAATTTGGCAATTTAGCTTGTTAAATAATTAATTAAATATTTCATAATCTGTATAGTTTGAAAAGAAAGCCAACGAAGAAAACAAAAAGAGAGAGAAAAAAAAAAAAAGAAAAAAAAAAAAAAGGAATTGAAGAAAACTTTTTATATTTTGCATTAGAAAAACTTATTTGTTTATTTATTTATTTATTTAATTATTTATTTATTTATTTAATTTTATTATACCTTGTAATTGCAATAAAATGTTTACTTGATATTATTATTATTATTTTTATTATTATTATTGAATATAATTGAAAAAGCATAAAAACACGCAAATAAACAAGAAGAGGCGAAAATAGGAAGGAAAAGTTGATCAACTACTTGATAAGATTCTATATATTATTGTGATGCAAAAAAAATAATAGATTTTCATTAGTTTTGCTATCCGGAAATACGTTTTATAATTGTATTCTGGCGCCGCGTCCGGTCGCTCAGAGCCATACGACTAAGAAAACAATGTGTTTTCTTGTCATACTTAATTACAAATTTGTTTTAAAATCAATTTGTTAAGTGATGAAAATCATAAAAGGCTAGCGCGGTTTGCGACTTGCCTTGTCAGATCTCTGCTAATGTTCCTCCGGAGATGGCTGTTAAATAATTACGGGAAGAAATTAATTTATCATTGTTTTTTTTCGCATTTTTTCATCCGCACTTCCTCTCTTCTATCTTTCCAATCATATACTCCGCCATGTTCTATCCCTATGTCATTAGGCGCGTTCTTCTTCTTTCATTCGGCTGGGCCGATCCCTCTGGAGCTACGAATTTAATTTCATAGTCTTTCTTACTTTTATTGGTAAATGAATTTCGAAAAATTCTTCTCTGGGTCTATTGACACACTTATAATTCCACGGACATGCACGCAAAATCCACACACCTGTCGACAAGTTCGTATTTTAATTATTATTATTGTCAAAATAATCGCCTAGAAATTGCTTGTGTGATACAAAGATCATTTAAATCGGGTCAAGAGTTCATACGTAGTAATCAAAACTGTAGGACTGTAGGCATATAAGGCGTTGTATAAATTATTTTTATTTGGTACAGTTACCTAAAAGTGCTACAAAATTGTAAAAAAAAAATATAACTCCGAACATGTACGATATATAAGTGGGATTCAATTACGCAATCACATATCATTCGTTCAAGAGTCCTTTTTCTGCGAATGTTTACTTTTTGCTCTGCCGTTTTCTAACTTCTTTTGTTCATATGGCCAAGATGTGCACTCAATTCTGTACTTTTCGATCCTGTTATTAACTAATTGTTCATCTGTCTAAGCTTTTTCGCACTTCTTTCTTCGTGCATATACTTTTTCCCCTTTTCTTTGCATCACTATCCGCTATTCCCGCTGTCTTGTTCGCCCGCGTGATTTTTTTTCTTTCTTCCTCTTTCTTTCTCTTCGTTTATTTATCTTTTTGCCCAACTGTTTTTCGGTCCGTTTGCCTATTGAACTATTCGTCCCTTCACTGTTTAAACAGCTTCTGCGTTCATTTTCCTCATTGTTCCTCAGTGTCTGCGACTGAAATTCTCAAAGTTGCTCAACTTTTAAAAAAATTCGAATTTTACATCTACGCCATCAGTGCGACTGTCCAAAATTGATCTAATCAAAAATTAACTTAACTTAATATGGTCCTATTCAAAAGAAAAGAGTTCGTAAGAGACTACAATGGAATCGAAAGACCATATGACATAGAATGCTATGCAACTGGGTACACAGATTTCTTAAAAAATTCAATGCATATATGGTAGTATAAATCGGTCGGCAAGATGTTCAAAATTACTCACGCATTGCGCATAATTATTTGCAATTGTTAAGTCGAGTGCGGCCCTCCAAAATAATCTTAAGGTAAATATAATTTTCCCACCGGTTTCTTTTATCTTTTACTAGGTATGTAAATATGAAACCGAAATTTTTCTATAAAAAATATATGTTAGTTTGGGGAAAAAAAAATCCATTATTTTTTCGGTAGATGGCTGCACTGATAGATTTCTCGTAAAGTATCGATCAAACAATTTCAGTTTTATGCTCGTCGGAAGGGTGACATTTCGCAGTAAAAAAAATTCTTTTGCTGTTTTTTGTTTGGTGCATTCAGTTGTGAGTTACACGGTGTTAAAAATGGAAGTGAACAAAGAGAAAATTCGGTACATTTTACAGTTTTTCTTTGACAAAGGCGAAAATGCAAGCCAGGAGGCTAAAATTGTGAATGGTGTTTATGGTTCCGATACTGTAACAGCCAATTATGTGCAATTTTGGTTTCGTAGATGCCGTTCAGGAATTTTTGATGTTAAAGATGCATCTCGCACAGGTAGGCCGGTCGTCGAAAATGTCGATAAAATCGGAGAAATGATCGAAGTTGACCGGCATGTTAGTAGTCGTGATATCGCCCAGGAGCTAAAAATCGACCATAAAACAGTTTTAAACCATTTACACAAAGCTGGATTCAAAAAGAAGCTCGATGTTTGGGTGCCACACCAACTAACAGAAAAAAACATGATGGATCGAATTTCCATCTGCGAAGCCTTGGTCAAACGGAATGAGATAGACCCGTTTCTTAAACGGATGGTGACTGGAGATGAGAAATGGATCACATACGATAATCCGGTGCGAAAACGATCGTGGTCAAAGAGCGGTGAAGCACCTCAAACGGCCAGGAAGGTTTTGCTATGCATTTGGTGGGACTGGAAGGGGATTATTTATTATGAGTTGCTTCCATATGGCCAAACGCTAAATTCTGATCGTTTGAAGATAGCGATTGACCAGAAACGGCCAGAATTGGCCAACAGGAGAGGTGTCTTGTTCCACCAGGACAACGCTAGGCCACACACATCTACAGTGACTCGCTAGAAACTTCGGGACTTGGCACCAAGCGATTATCATCTTTTTCTTGCATTGCAAAATTTCTTTAGCGATAAAAAATTGGAATCTAGGGAGGATTGTGAAAATCGACTACTAGAGTTTTTTGCAAATAGAGACCAGGACTTCTATGGCAACAAATCATACAACAAATCGGTACATATTTGACCCAAATCGGACAATCCGAAGCATGTTAAATAAAGTCCTGAAGTTCATATAAAAATAATGGATTTCTTTTTCCCCAAACTAATATATTTGTTGCGTGAAGATGATAGAAAATATTTTATTCACATTTTTCCCACCTGTCTGACAATTTGCGGATGCTACATCAAAAAAATGGCTGCCCTTATCAGGCAAAGCAGTCATCCAATTGTTTTTGTTTTGTATGCTCCCGTAAAAAGTGAAGCGTTGCTTAGCAAGTTACGACGGTCGGTATAATCGGTACAAATAAATAGAAATCGTAGAGAATCATTTCGGATAAGTGAGCCGTATACGCTAGCACTGTGTCAGTGTGCCATAGACCTGTTTAGCTGTATGTACGGATGAATGGATGGACAGGTGTCATATAAAAAATTACCTTGTTGCGCTTTTTTTTGATCAGCGAATCGTTAAAAGCACTTAATTGTTGTTAGTAGACATTAATAGTTAATAATAGACCGTACGTATCTGGTACCATCAAAGACAGAGTATTGTGACATAGCGATTCGGTCCTACGATGAATGTTTGTGCCTCAAAATTCGCCAAATAAATCCTCCTTTGAAAAAAGAGGGGGTTCAATTTGTGTCCTTTAGGCGAAGAATGAATGTTGCTGGCAAATAATCTTTATTTGGCGCAGTTCGATATATGTTGGTGATGTCCAAGTTAAAAAAACACAACTTTAGACATGTATGTCCTCTGTGCGATATCAAAGACCGTTAATGGAAAATAATGGTGTTATATATATATACCCCATATACGATTGTTTATCTTACAAAAACAAAACATTAAGTTTGTTGTATTACTTGTATCGTAAACACATTAAGTTGTAAGTATTGAAATGCGCATGTAATCATCGAGAATGGACTCATCGACGAATTTTTTACCATACATATATTAGGCTTTAATTCCTTAATCGAGTTTTAGTAAGTTCTAATACTAAGCAAAAGATGCATAGGCTAATATGCTGCAATTAGTTTATTCTTTGAAAATTATTAATACCTACATCATGCATCCCAGCTGCTTACAAGTATTGGTAAGGTGACATTTTTTTTTTCACGAGAAAACATTAAAGCAATATACAGGACTAAGATGAAAAAAAAGACTGAAAGTCTAAAAAAACCTTCGTTACGTTGAGGCAGAGTTTGAGGTCAGCGAATTTGGTTAAAATCAAATCTAACGGATATAATCTTAGTGTTTAAAAGCGATGTTCTAATACCACTGATATCGTCCAGACATAGGAAGGTGGTAGCAAGTAAGTGTGAAAATCGACCAATCCAGAAAATGTGGATAGGCATGCATTCCATAATGCAAATAAAAGATGGATTTTGTCTTATCTTCTTTCCCAATTACGGTTATTCGCGTGAATCTATTCAAAAATTTCTTAATTAGATTAAATTGCGCATCTTTCCTCTAGAATATCTATCTATATGTACCAGGTTATCATATACGATATGATAATATTAGCATTATCATCTTCTCTTATAATGAATATAATAATTTAATGTTATATGTGATTATCTTCAATTGTTTTGTATCTTAAAAATAATGAATAGATTCGCTCCTAAAAGTACTTTCTTTTCTATGAAATCTTTTGACGAATTTTGACAAAAATCATTAAAAAAAATATTTAAAAAAAAAAATAAATAAATAAATAAATAAAAAAAATTAAGTTTCAAAAGTAAAATCTAGTCTAGAATTTTAAATACTTTTTTCATTCGACTTTGCCCGGCATTAATAAAATGTGTACTAAATTGCCTCCACTCGTTTGCTGCTCTATTGGCCTAATTTTATTTGACTATGTCTGCGCGTAAAGCTTAAACCTTAATAAAATACGAAATTAGTTGAAATC